GTCTCCCCCTGAGTTCTAGCCTCAATCAGAAGTTCCCAGCGAGGGATCTGGGAACTAAACACTTTTTGAGGGACAAAACTTAGACCTCTGGGTCCCTCTAGGCCATAGACAGAAACAACTGATTTCTCCCTGTGACCAAATTCACAAACCTTCCCGAGGCCTGCTCCCCGCACTCTGATCCAGGCTCAGGGCCACCCAGAGTTGCATGCATTCCAACAAAAGCCTGGACCCCTTCCTCCCTCTGCTTCCCTAGTCCCAGGGGTTCCTCGGAAAATGCAGAGTTAGGGGAAGGTCCTTGGGAAGGTCTCTGAGTCTGCCAATGTAAGCCTTGTCCCCTGCCTGCTCTGGGGCCCTGGGCAGAAGGTGGCCGGGGCCCTGGGGAAAGGGAGGATCTGAGCATGTATGTGAGCACGGGTAGAGGGTCTAAGCACCCCAGGAGGGCCAGGGGCTAGGGGTGCAGGGCCCCAGAGCCCCACAGGGGAGGCAGGAATCACACCTGTGGGGTCACAGGGACACCCCCGTGGCCTCTCCATCTCAAGACCCTCAGAGCTCTGATCTTTGAGGTTTTGAGGTCTTGTGGTATCCATGACCTCCACCAGGAACGGTCCCCACCAGGAACGGTCCCCACCAGCTGAGGATAAAAGTTCACAAAGATGTCCCACTCCAGGAGACCACGGAGGCCACCAAGCCCAGTTCCCACCTCTGGCTTTCAGAAGCCAGCCGATTTAGGTAGCCAACCCTGGGCCCTTGAAGGCAGCCAGGGCGGGCGGTGGAGGGTCGCGGTCCGGGGCCTGGTCCCAGCTCCCCACCCGAAAGGGCGCTCATTACTCACCGCGGATGAAGGTCTGCGAGTAGGTCGGGAAGGAATCGAAGATGCTGTTCGATGCCATGCCCCACTCTGAGGAAGGCGAGGTTTCAGCCCTTCTGGGGTTGGGTTGGGATGGATTGGTTGGCTGTTGTTTTATTTTTTCCTAGCTACTTTTGAAAATAAAGTGGGGGGGATTGCTTTTTGTTTGTATTTTTTTCGTTTTGCCTCTTTCCCCCCCCACCCCCACCTACTGCTACGAAAAAGAAAAAAGGAAAGAACGCGAGAGTGTGTGTGTGAGGGAGAGAGGAAAAAAATCCCCAAGGAAAGTAAGTTTCTGTTTGTACCCAAGAATTTGGATTCCCGGTCCCACAGGAATGTCTCGCCACAAATTTTCAACAGAAGCGTATGCAGAGTGTATCATTAGATGGCGGGAAGGGGCCTTCAGCAGCCAGGGCAGGAGTCGCGGGGCGGTGAGAGCAGGAACAGCCCTGCCCCAAGCGCCTTGGGAATGAATGAATGAGGCTCGCCCCCGTCAGAGCTCAGCTCAGTGGGTGCGAGGGCGGCCGGGGGTGGGAGGACCGGGAGCCAACCAGCTCCGGCGCAGGGCCCCCCGAAGGCGGCCGAGGGCCTGGCCTTGTGGTTCTGTGGTTGAGGGACCAGGCCTTCACGGTGTCAACCCAACCTCAGCTCACAGGATGCAAGAAGCCAGCTCGCGGCCTTGGCTCATTGGCTGGGCGGCAGTCACCTGGGCCGTGATGTCAGAGCCTCTTAGAAGATCTTGTGGCTGCCTCGCTCCCTTTTTAGAAAAAAAAAGAGAGAGAGAGAAAGAAAAAAGGGATGGCTTTTATTTGTGGGGCTGGCCTCAGCACGCGGCCCAAAAGCAGAACTGAAAGCGGCTGGAGTGGGAGTGGCCGGGCGGTGGTTTGGATCCTGTGGGAGACTCCTTTTTAATGAAGGCCAGTGTGGGCCCGGGTAGCAGGGAGCCCCAGGAGCCCGGATCCCTCCAGGGGCCCCCATCTGGGCTGTGGGTGGTTGTCACCCAGCCGTCGTCAACCAATTCAGTCCCAGAGAGGTGTCCACACGTGTGTCTGGGTGGTGCTTCAGGGAGATCTTTATGGGAGTTGGGAGCAGGCACCAAGGGAAACACATGAAGGGACGTCACCAGTGCTCACGCCGGAGCCCGTGGGCCTCCAGAAAGGGCTTCCTGGGGAAAGCCAGGGGCACGGCCTTGCCAAGGGGCCTTGTGCAGAGCTTGGGGTCTGAGGCCTGCACCCAGTCATTCAGGGCTCTTTGCTGTCTTTGCCCACCTGTGTGTCTCTATGGGGTTCTCTGTTCCAGCCTCGTGTGCCTGGACTTGCCTGCCTCTGGGCCTTTCCTCTTGCTCTCTGGTCCCCACTGCCTCCAACCCTCCCGCCTCCATAACCGCCCCCACCCTGCCGGCTCCCAGTGCCCTTCGTCAGCCCTCTTTTTTGAATCCTTCAACTCCCAGAGGGACTCGGAAGTAGAAAAGACAAGGAGGATGATTCAACTTCACACTTCCGTGTTTTCCCAGAAGCCAGGTCAGGCTTTGGGGGGAGGGTGGAAGCTTCACCATTTCCCTGGAAACTCTAATACTCTCCCATTTCATGGGCCAGACCACTGAGGCCCGAGGCATTGAAGTCAGCTCGTTCAAGGCCACACAGTACCCTGAGTGGAATTGGAATGTCAGCCTCTGGCTCATCAGGCTGGGCCTCAGCCACGACACCCCGGGGTTCTGTAGCGTCCTCTAAGCCAAACCCTGAGGCTCCCAAGAGCCCTCTGCTGCCTGGGCCCCACCACCTGGCCTCTCCCAGGGAGCCCAAGCTTGGGCCCAGGCCCTGTCATCTCTGTAGGCTAACACAGGGAAGAAGGGGCATCCGCGGGAGGAGGAGCTTGTCCCAGGTCCCGGGGAGACTTGCTTCTGCTCACCGCCTCACTGGGTCACCTGGGAGCGGGACGCCCTTGGAAATTTGCTGTCTGTGTCTCACCTGCGTCCTCCTGGAGACTCAGTCTTCTGTTCCCTAGTGGCAAGTGGGTGGGGGTGGGGGTGGGGGTTCTAACTTCTCCAGGGAGGAAGCAGGTTTAAGTGAAAGGCGCAGGGCTCTGAGGTCAGATTCAACTTCTAGTCCAGCTCTGCTGAACCCCAGCTGCAACGCCGTGGGGCCAAGTCACTGCCCTACTCTGGGCCTCAGTTTCCTTTCCTGTAGAATGGGGATAACACATTTCTCCGAGGACAGGCAACTAGGTGAGGACACCGTGAAGGCTGGTTTCCTTGCTTGAGTCTGGGTGATGTAATTCGGGCTCTGTTATGAGTAAGTGCAGGAAAAGAGGCATCACGGTCACATAGGAGGATAGACTGCCCCTGCTGGAAACTCACTGGCTGGCCCGGCCTGGGCAGGGCTGGCGGGGTGGGGATGGGGGTGGGTCAGTGGCACAGCCCGCCAAGGGGCCTCGGCCCTCCTGGCTAAATTTGGACTGTTTTGAAGTCTGCCATGTTGTGAAACTGATCAGAGAGGAAAACAACTGGAAAGACCCCCCTTTAACAGGATGGAAACTGAGGCCCCCAGAGGGGCAGAGACACACTCTGAACTCACCAGTGAGTCAGTGGAACCCGGGCCCCTTGCTTCCCAGCCCAGGAGCTGTTTCCACTCTGCCGACGCCGCCTCGAGTTTCTAACGTACCACCCTACGCACTTGGCTGTTTTTTCCACACATAAGAGTGGGCTCCCCCGTAACACCTATAATTTGGTCACTCTGAGGGACTCCCCCTCCCTGGGAAGCTGAGTTCAGGCCCAGGGAGGGGAGGCCCGCGGGGCTACATCTGTGAGGCGCGTGGCTTGTTGCCTTCCCGGGACCACGCAGCAAAGGCCTGTGGGGTGACAAACTGGGTTTCTCCCTCAAGAGGCTTATAATCTCCGCTCGCCCTTCCAGAAGCGTGCACCAGACTTGGACGAACCTCTGAAGGCTGCCCGGGAAGAACCTTCCTGAAGCCTGCCTTTGGTCCTCATGAGCTGTGAGATCACGGGCAAAGGGCTTTTTCCTTTGAGCCTGCTTCCTCGCCCGGGAGACGGGACCCGCTTACAATTGCAGAGGATTAAATGAAAAACACCATGAACACGCCCGGCGCGCGGTAGGTGCCCAGTTCCCAGGACTCCTCTTGCTGCCACTTCTGACCATGCACCCTCTCGGGGTGTAGTGAGCAGTCCAGTGTCCTTTGCTCTCCACTGGAAAAAAAATATCCAATACCATAGATGCTTCTGAACCATTTAGATCAGGTTAATCCAAAGTTTTGGTTGAAGAAGGAAATCATTGGAAAAAAACAGTGATGCTCCTTTTTTATGTTTATCAGTGTGTACCAAATGGCCTCCCTCTTGTTCTTCTGTCTTAAATCAACCCAGAAGGAGTCTGCTACGATGTCCAGGTTTGTCCTCTTTAACGTGCAATACAATTGTAAAGAGGCTTATGAAGCAATTAGCACCCAGTAGCAGTGCTGACCCTTTTGCCCAATCTTTCACAATGTTTCACCCACACTTAATTCAGTTTATTTTTTAGCAGCTTGCCTTCACTGAATCTTTCCCAGGTATTCAACCTTGGCAAGTTTTCATGGAAACAGACACCTACGCTTTGCCTCACACCACCCGTAATATCACGTCACTGCCAGTGAGGGTCCAATGATGAAAACAGAAGCCCCTTAGAGTGATGGAAACCGAAGGAAGGACGTTGGTTCAGGGATTATTGGAAACCCAGGCGATGGAAGAGCTGAGAAGACAAACAGAGGTGGGGAGGAGCCCCAATGGCAAGAAGCCACTGACACGGGAGGGACAGAAGGAGTGGGGTCACCTGGGCCCCCCGTGGAAGCAGGAGCATCGTAGGCCCGTCTCGCTCTGGAGCCACGGAGGAGACTCAGCCGCCGCGGAGAGGCCCCTGAGACAAGGAGGAAAGAAGCTTCTCCCTTCCTCCCATCCTTCCATCTCCTCCCGGTGCCTCCCGACGGCTGAATGGAGCTGGGGCAGGCTGACTCAGTGGAACCAGACCTCTGCATTATACAGCCAAGCAGGAGAGGGAGTAGATAGAGCTGAAGGCAAAGTGGCCCAAAGCTGGCATGGTAGCCCTAGGAGCTCTGTAACCATGGAAACCCAATGGAACGAATGGGTTTGGGAACAAAGCCAACAGATGTTTGGCACGTTGACAGCTCAGCGGGCTGGTGAGGCCAGAAGGTGAGGGTCCCAGTGAGGGACCTGCCAGCCAGTCCTATATTCCTTGGTATGTTACCCCAGAGAAGGCAATGGCAACCCACTTCAGTACGCTTGCCTGGAGAATTCCAGGGACACACGAGCCCGGTGGGCTGCCATCTATGGGATCGCACAGAGTCAGACACGACTGCAGCAGCAGCATATTACCCCAGAAGTACCCATGAACTCCACGGGCCATTTACATCAGGGTCAGTTAAGAAAACACCTACTGTGAATGGTGGTGAAATTCGCTTTCTCAACCTGTGTGCAGAGCTGATGTTTTCACTAGAGCTTTGGGTGACTGTGACTGGGGAATCACAAGCATTGGCTTCCAGGCCTGTGTGTGAACTTTACAAAGATGGCACACTTCTGAGCCCACTGGACCCTCCCAACCACCTGTGGAAGAGGTGTGTCTCTCTTCACTTTTCTGATGAGGAAAAGACTAATCCCAGGGATTAACCCCATGTTTTAGATTCTAGGGGTCAGCAGAGCCAGCTTGGAGGGAATAGCTAGCAGATTTGAGGTGGGCACTGGTCTTTGAGTTCAAATTCCAACTTTCTAGCAGTCAATCACATTGCTGGGCCCAAGGAAGGTGCTGGAATGATATCTGAGATCTACTGCAGGCTTTCTCAATGGCTCAGCAGGTAAAGACTCTGCCTGCAATGTAGGAGACACGGTTTAATCCCTGGGTCAGGAAAATCCCCTGGAAAAAGGAAATGGCAACCCACTCCAGCATTCTTGCCTGGGGAATCCCATGGACAGAGAAAACTGGAGGCCACAGTCTATAGGGTCAGAGTCAGACACGACTGAAGCGACAGAGCACACTAGCACGTAGGCTGCCCAGGGGGCTCCACCTTCAGAGCTGAGCACAGAGACGTCCAGATAAAGATGTCCCCACCCCCATCTCCATCTTCCGTCTCCCCACCAGCCAGGTCACCACCCCCTGATCTATCATAAGATCAGGGTATCAGATGAGTCCTGCAAGAATGCAGCCTACCCAGGGGCCAGGATACCCAGACCAAGGATGATTAGCTAAGAACCTACCAGGTGGGATGCACATGATGAGAGATTTACACACAGAATCTCCAATGGTGGGCTCTCAGGACAGCCTACCATGCAAAGTGGTCTTCCAGCCATTTCTCAGGGGCAGTCAGAGAGGCCAGGAGACCCGCCCAAGGGCACCCAGGTTGCAGGTGGAAGAAGCAGGATCAAACCCAACCTGCCCACCATCCGCTTTCTGGGCTTCTCCCCACCCCGCCCCCAGCTTCTCTCTTTCCTGTTGTTTGTTTCAGAAAACTGCTCAGGGTGCCCCCTTCAGAACTCCCCCCTCCCTCTCCTCCACCTTCCGGCCTCAGCCCCCTTCTGCAGGCAGGCCTCCCTTTGCCGGACCCCTCGCTGCCTTCCCGTGGAGCTGCCAGGGGCTTGGGGGTACTGAGGACAATTCTGTGACCATCTTTACTCTCAGTATCTGCTTCACCAGGGACCTCCATCGCGCTATGCGGCGGCCTGGAATTCCACCATTAGCACACATTTGGGCTTGGATATATTTCAGCCACAAGCTCTCTGTCAAAAGAGACAGAGAGAAGCGGGTGGAGGGGTCACGGAGCCGCCTGAAGAGGGAAGAGCCCGGTTGGGTTGATCAGCTGCCCCCTGGATGGGCTTGCTGCCTCTCTCTCTGGACCGAGTGTCCTCACTGCTTAAAATCACGATCCCTAGGCCCCCTGGCCCACCGCCCCCTGCACGCGAACACCCTGGGCAGACACAGCCGAGATGGTTCGCTCCCTTTTACAGCTAAGGGAAACTGAGGCTGGCAGAGGCGAAGGGACTCACCTGCAGTCTCAGGCGTGATAAGAGGGAGTCAACAGCAGGCCTGCTGCCACCACCTCCAGCCACCCCCAGGGCCCCCCTGACTTCCCTTGTCTCCCTCAAGTCCCCCCCAGGGCGGTCGAGGTGCTGGCGTCTTGGGAATCAGGAGAGCTGGGCTCAGGTCCCAGCTCCGGCACTTCCTGACTGTGCGACGCTGGTGTCAGCGGGTCCTTTCCCAACCTCAGTGCCCTCATCTGTGAGATGGGGAAAGTCAAAAGCCTTTCTCCCCTCCTAGGGTGGACAGGTGAGGAGGGACCACCCCGGAGAAGAGTACACGTAGGCAGTTGGCTGAGGTAAGCTGTTTGGGGGCTGACGGTCTAAGAGCCTGGGCGGCAATGCTCAAGGGTGTTGTGTGTGGGGTCGGGGGGAGGGCAGAACTGGGCGGCAGGAGGGGGCGTGTGGCTGACTCACCACTGCCCCAGGGTCCTTGGTGCCCCCCTGGCAGACCCCTGCCTCCAGCCCAGTCTCACCAAGGCCCTGCTTCCAGCAGCCCTGACTCTCCTGGGTTCTGAAGGCCAACTCCAGTCAAGGGCCACCTGAACCCGGGTTTCCAGGAGATGTTCCTTTGAGAGCTGGAAAGCCTTGCCCATGACACGCTTCCTCCCTCCGAGTCCCAGGCCCCTCAGAGGAAGCAAGAAAACCCCAAGCTGTAGCCCCTTTTGGCTCATAAAACGATCTTTTTCTCTGGGTTTTTTCCGGTGGGATAATCTATTTTTAGCATCAGAGAGTTCTGCCAGGGGCTTCGACCTGCGGAGGGACTGGCTTCGCGTGACCACAAACACTGCCGGAGGTGGGCACCCCTCAGAGGGGTGGCGCTGGGGCAGCAGGGCAGTGAGGAAGGGTGTCTCCCCCCACCCCCGCCCCCAAGGGCTGCAGACTCTGGCTCAGGGCTCCTTCTTCTCCTGTTCAGGGAAGGCTTGCTTGGGGCCAGGCCACCTCCCCACACCCAGTGCTTTCTCCCCACAAACCCGAAAATAATAATAATAACAGTAATCACAAATAGCACCTCCCACAGGCCAAGCCCTCTCCCAAGAGCCTCAGGTAAATGATCTCATTGGCACAGACAAGGAGACTGAATCTCAGAGAGCTTAAGCGACTTGCCCAAGTTTGATTCAGGATAGATGGAGCCGGGATTTGAGAGCCTATTTTATCAGCCGTTGGTCTCCTGTTGGCGCTGAGGAAACAGAAGCTCACGGAAATGAATGAATGCGCTCAAAATCACCTGGACAGCAGACAGCGAGGGCAGGATCTACCCAAGGCGGCCGACTCAGAGCTTCTGGCTCAGACCCGCACCCCAGCCCCTGAGCTTCCGGGGTGCAGCACCTATGGACTCAGTTCATTCTCCCAATAAGTGGTGTTTCGGGGTGCTGCGGAGCGTGGGGGCTGGAGGTACTATAATCTTCCATCTTCCTGAGGAAACTGAGGCTCCAACAAGAAAAGGGACCCCCCTGAGTTTGCAGAGTTAGGCCATGGTGGTGAACCTCATCTGCTGGAATTCCTGAAGGCTTTGCTAAGCTTTGCTGCCAGCTTCCCATCCCCCACCTCCCCACCCCCGCCACATACCCACCCCCCAATCCCTGCTGCTTTCTTTGAGGGGTTTGGGCCCCCAGAGGAGTCTGGATAGGGCTGAAATTTTTTAAAAATGATTTGGTCTTAATGATCCACCCCCTCCCACATCTCACTCCCTTTCTCTTTCCTTCAATCGAATGACCCCGTTTGCAGGGGTGTGCCGGCCAGCAAATTTGCTGACCCAGGCAAAAGGAAGGGGGGGGGTGTCATTATGCGGTTGGGAAATGGTGAGGCATTTCATATGCCACCGATCTAGTATCCCAGGAATTTCTGCTGCCCTCAAGGAAATTAAAGAATTAGCTACCATCCAGGGCTGTGGCTTCCTCCTTACTGTGCGCGTGCATTTTCTTGACTTTAAATAGGATGCTCTGAGCATCTGCATGTAAGTGGCAGCATTGTAGGAGGAAGTGGGGCTGCCTAGGGTAAGGAGAAAGTCCTGGCCAATGAGGCTACAGGCTCAGAGAGGGGCAGGAACTTGCCCTAGGTCACACAGCTAAGGCCAAAAAGCAACACCACCTGACTTGTGGCTGGATTTTCTTTCCATGATGTGAGGTTCTGTGAATAATTTGTCATGTGAAATCAAACAAGTTCTTTTCCCCTCTCAGAGTCATTCTTCCTTGTATGTAAAAGGTAGGAGTGAGATCACTGTCTTAGTTTGAGTGTGTGTGTGCTAAGTCACTTCAGTCGCGTCTGACTGCGACCCTGTGGACTGTAGCCCAGCAGGCTCCTCTGTCCATGGGATTCTGCAGGCAAGAATACTGGAGTGGGTTGCCATGCCCTCCTCCTCCAGGGGATCTTCCCGACCCAGAGATCAAACGCATGTCTCTTATGTCTTCTGCATTGGCAGGCGGGTTCTTTACCACTAGTGCCACCTCGGAAGCCCTCTCTTAGTTTTGGGGTTCCTCCAAAGACAGGCCTTGAACCTAAGGAATAAGTGTAAGCGGTTTACTTGAGGGATGGCACCAGGAAGCAGGAGTGAGGGATCCGGGAAGAGGTACAGGGAAGGGAAGGCAGCCCATACAGGGTGCAGGAGCAGCGGTTTGCTTCTCCGACCCCTGGGGCTCCTCCCCTCTGGGAACCCTCTGAGGAAGTGGGTGGAACCCACGCAGAAGTGCTTCGCCAGAGGCCAGGGAGCTGGAGTATGTATCTACCTGCTCCCGTCTCTCCTTCATCGAGGGTTATCCTACGAATGATGACCCTTCAACAATTCTTGTCACCCCTCTGGACAAAGGTCACTCAAGACCAGAAAATGTCCAATCTGTGCTTTAGGGGAACTCTTTGGGGAGGGTGTGTGATTTCTAAGGCGTCTCTTGGTTCTGGGAGATAAGGATTTCGTATTTCAAAGACATCTTCCTCAGTATCCTCTCAACCCTTCCGAGCTGTCATGACCTCAGGAAGTGATGTATTGGCACAGTAGTTCTTGGTGTTCAGTCGTTCAATCGTGTCCGATTCTTTGCAACCCCACAGACTGCAGCACACCAGGCTTCCCTGTCTGTCACCAACTCCCAGTGTTTGCTCAAACTCATGTCCATTGAGTTGGTGATGCCATCCAATCATCTCATCCTCTGTCCTCCCCTTCTCATTCTGCCCTCAATCTTTTCCAGCATCAGGGTCTCTACCAATGAGTCGGCTCTTCACATCAGGTGGCCAAAATATTGAAGTTTCAGCTTCAGCATCAGTCTTTCCAATGAATATTCAGGACTGATTTCTTCCAGGATGGACTGGTTTGATCTCCTTGCAGTCCAAGGGACTCTCAAGACTCTTCTCCAACACCACAGTTCAAAAGAATCAGTTTTTTGACACTCAGTCTTCTTTATGGTCCAACTCTCATATCCATACATGACTATTGGAAAAACCATAGCTTTGACTAGACAGACCTTTGTTGGCAATTTAATACACTGTCTCTGCTTTTTAATACACTGTCTAGGTTAGTCATAGCTTTTCTTCCAAAGAGCAAGCATCTTTTGAGATGTAATTTAATTGACACAGTAGATGTGGCACAAAATCACTCCCTGCCTATCCCAAAGCTTGAATATCCCCTATCCATGCTTCAGCATTTTGGACATTTGAAAAAAATATGCTATTTATTTGGCTGTGCCAGATATTAGTTGTGGCATATGGGATCTAGTTCCCTGACCAGGGATTAAACCTACGTGCCCTACATTGGGAGTGCGGAGTCTTAGCCACTGAACCACCAGAGCAATCCCCTTGGATCCTGATTTTTAAAAAGTGTTAAAAGCCCTGAGGGTCAGTGCCTCAGGGTGCCCTTGAGGAGGGTGGTGCCAGGGAGTAGGCTGAATGGAAGGAGAGCCTGTTCTCCATCACTTTGGCTGAAGAAGTCTGCTTTGTTGATTAGTTTTTATCTAAGCTTTTTTCCCCTCAAAGTTACTTAAACAGTCAAGTACTTCTATAAGGCACTCTTCACCAATCCTCACAGAAAAATACATTCAACTTTTAGTACTTACTCTATTTCTTTAGGGACTTCTCCAGTGGCTCAGACAGGTAAGAGTCTGCCTACAATGTGGGAGACCTGGGTTCAGTCCCTGGCTTGGGAGGATTCCCTGGAGAGTGGAATGGCTCCCCACTCCAGTATTGTTGCCTGGAGAATCCCACAGACAGAGGAGCCTGGAGGGCTACAGTCCATGGGGTTGCAAGGAGTCGAACACGACTGAGTGGCTAACACTTTCACTTTTTTTCTGTTTCTCTAAATAACATGTTCACCAAGCTCATTGTGATTCTTCAGTTTTAGACACTACCTACTGACTTTCCCCATGGAAGAGGGTTTAGCTCCTTTTACCTGAACTTCTTACCATGCACCACTTCTATCCTTAAGGATAGTAGTTATTTTGCTTAGATGACCTGTTAATATTTCCTTTTTTCAGCTGGGTACATGCTTTCCCAGCTGGGTCATATAATATGCTCTGATCACATTTCCTTGATTGCATAGCCTTTTGTTTTCCCTGGAGTTATAATTTGTTTAGCTTTTCATTTGCATAATTTTCTGTGTGCTTACCACAAATGTATTCCTAAACTCTCCACTAATCGTCCACATCTCCTATTATGAAATTCAATAGCATCTATTCATTTATGGAGTCCTCTCCTCTGGAATCCTCTAACCTGCTCCAGTCTGGACTGGTTGCTCTCCAGGTCTGCTACTCAATTATCAACCAGAAATCTTTCTACACTATTATCCTAGAGTTCTCTTTGCTCCTCTTCCACCAGAGCCTCTGTTTTCTGGATCCTCCCTCTCTCTCCTGGTTCACTTCCTTGTTTTGATGGAGCACATCTAATAGTAGCTTCCTAAGAAAGGGTGCATAAGAGGTAGATTTATTTATGAGCATTTGATTATGTCATTAGTCATACTTCATGGGTAGTTTGGCTGGCATAGAAATCATAGTTAAAATCATCTTCTCTCTTCAAAGTTATCTCTCCATTGTCTTCTTGCTTCTTATGTTGCTGTTGATGAGTCTAAAGACATTTTGATTCTTAATCTCTGAAAATAGCTAATCTTTTTTCTCCCTGAAAGTTCTGATGATATTCTTTGTCCCAAATGTCCTAAGATGCCACAATTCCATGCCTTGGTACGGTTCTATTTTCATCCATTATTCTGGACATTCCATTGATCCTATGACTTAGACTTTTATTGTGATCAGTCCTGGGCAGTTTTCATGAATTATTTCTTTGATCATTTTTTCTTTCTCACTAGTCTCTCTTTCTGTTGAGGCTTCCAAATTTATAAATAATTTAAGATTTTCATAAATTCTAAAATTCTATCCTATCTTATTTTCAGTTGTGTTTTTGTAGTTTTTCAGGGGAGGGTATCTTCATCTTTCTCTTTCCATGTCTCTATTCTCATTTTTGTTATAGTAATTTGAATTTGTACTTTTCCATTTTCTAATTATTACATTTCCTGTCTATTCTTACTGCATAGATGCAGTACCTTCTCTTATCCCTCTGAAGATATTAATTATAGACTTAAAAACATATTTCATCTCCCTGTCTAGTGTGTTTCTTTTGAGTTGCTTTATTTTTCCATTAAATTTTGTCTTATCTTTCTTGGTAGAGGTTTTCTTCATATGGCTGATAACTCTTGGCTGTCTGCTCTATTTATAATAGCAAGTACTAAGCTCTGACTGGAAGTTCTGTGTAATTGTGTGAGATGGCCCGACTCTGGACTTCATAGAGGGATCAGACTAGATCATTCTCTTGGCCAGTACCTTTAGATCTTTCACCTTGGTCTGTTCAGATTCCTTGGGGTAGACTATCCTAATGTGCTTAGAAGGTACTGGACTGACTGCCAGTGTTTGGGGGCAAGAGGGTTCTGAATGCATATACGTAGTATTCTCTTAATCCTTCATTTTTTATGCCATAGCTTCTGCCTTTTATGTGGTTGGTCCCCACCTGTCTAGAGACCCTCTGCTTTTTTTTCTCTCCAAAAAATAAACCTCAAGTATCCTACTGAGATAGGAGAGAGAATCTGGAGGTCTAACTGCTTCCTATAGACTTTCCTTATCCACGTATTTATCATCTATCTATTTGGCCGCATCGGAGTTAGCTGTGGGACTCTCGATCTTCACCGCGGTATACGGACCCCAGTTGAGGTACACGGGCCCCAGAGTGCTTGGACTTCACAGTTGGCAGTACGTGGGCTTAGTTGCTCCGTGGCCTGTGGGATCTTAGTTTCCCGACCAGGGATTGAACCCATGTGACCAGGGATCGAACCCATGTCCCGCGTATTGCAAGGGGGATTCCTAACCACTCTTTCAAACATTCCTTCTGTTCTCAGCCCCTCCCCACCCGCATCTCTGCGGGTCTCTCCTGTGCCCAGACCCTGAGGCTTTGGCGGGTGGTGGCTTGCCCCACAGATGCTTTCCAGGCTCCTACACTTTGCTACTATTATCTTTTCTGTTTCTGTCTGACCTTGTAGTCAGATAACCTAAAATAACCCCTCAAACCAAAAAACACACCAGCACCAATCACC